TAGACAAGATAGACAATTCTGATATTATTGCTGCGGTGGAGCTGGATGCAAAAGTAGTCAAATAGGGAATATCACTTTTCAGAAAATCAGGATACAATAAATTTGTAACCTTCATACGATGTATTGATTAGGTGTGGTTGGACTAACAATTTTGTAAATGATTCTACAGATCTATAAATATGATCGAATAAAAATATTAAATGTCTTGTGAAATGTATTATTATAATCTATGCATCAAAAGCTTTTAAATCAATCAATACATTATGTGTGGTTGGACTAACAATTTTGTAAATGATTCAACAGATCTATAAATATGATTGAATGAAAATATTAAATGTCTTGTGAAATGCATTACTATATTCGATACATTAAAATCAAAAAGTAAAGAATTTTGTGTTCCTCAAAAAAATAATTTTGTGTTCCTCAAAGTTTAATTATAATTTCGGTTTGTCATTCATGATTATTAAGTATTAAGTTGTCGTATGTTGAATAAAATTTAATAATATATATAACAATATTATTAATAACGTTGATAATAGTAATAGCAGTGGTGATCGTTCGATAATTCCCTGCGTTTGGGGCTCCAGAAGAAAACAAACAATTACAGAGCGTTAATAGCATGTCACTCTTTAATTAGTTCAAAAGGCAGTCAACGCAATTTGAATTTTGAATGTAGTAACTGTTTGGAAGGTAAGAACTATAATGTTTAATGTATAATGATACAATTTTATGAATAAATTGAACAGGAATTAAGTTGATACTACATTTATTATTTGAACATTAGAAATTTTTCAAATGGTCCCTGTAATATGATTGAATATAAATATCCCTATAAATATGATTGAATGAAAATATTAAATGTCTTGTGAAATGTATTATTATAATCTATGCATCAAAAGCTTTTAAATCAATCAATACATTACGTATGGTTGGACTAACAATTTTGTAAATGATTCTACAGATCTACATATGTACATCATATATGATAACTATCAATCATTCGAAATTGCCCTAAACTCTCAAAATTCCACGTAGACACGTCATTAAACGAAGTGTTAGTAGAAAAATCACAATGTAGTCCTCAACGGCCATAAAGCACGGGGATTTTTATTCCGAAAAATGTTTTTCACGTGATCATAAAATGGCGTGATACCCATAGCGGAACGTTATCGCTGCACGTTCAGTATGTTGCTCGTAAACGGCCGTCAAATACTTCATGTTGGTAGTTGCGCGCTCGTGCATGAAGCAAATACCATCATAAAAATGCTTCTCTTTGCGCGGTTCCTTTTTTTTTCAAGTCTGACTTTTCAATTCCCTTCGCCAACGAGATCGAAACGAGTATGGTTGCCCGGGGAAAAAGTTTAATTGAAATTGAGGCATAGTTTCGGGGGCTCTCATTTTATACGGAGTTTTTTATTCCGCTGAAATTGTTTGGAAACTGAGACTGAAGAGCCGATCGTATAACTGTTGCGTCTTGTTTGTGCTGATATTCGTGTTTAAACTTCGACGTTATTGTTACGTTTATAATTAATTTTATTTCGGCGATTCTGATTTTTACAAAAAAATTCTTTGCTGCATTTTTTGAAGACCTTGGAAATGTTGAAATATGAGTCGTATTTTTGAAGCGATGAATGTTTGTATGTATTAATTTACATATTTGATTTAGTGTATTCATTTTCAATATTAAGAATGTAATACACAATTAAAAATTTTAATTAAAATTATTTGTATGTATCAATGTTTTATCTTGAAGTTCACTTGGACGGGATAATAATTAAAACTCTATCTCTCGATTACCTCATAAACTTGCGAAGTAAATTTCAATTTTTAATGCTCGGTACCTGTCACATTTCCCGATAATGGTAATTATTCGTGTGTCGATAATGAAAGACATCCCCAATCGATAATGCTTTACAGTGAACACGTGAGCTGTTTATTCATCGTTTATCTTGCGACGCTACTTAACGTCAGCAATTAATTAGTACAAATGAGGCCATTAGTCAGTCCCGGCAAAACTCGAATGTTCTACTTTGTTCCTCGCAAATGCGAATCTTGCAAAATGAATCGAACTGCAACGTGAAAAACGAAATGGACTCGTTCATCTTCATCCTTTACGCGTGTAATGTATCGACTAAATGAGAAAAAGGCTACATAGAAAAATTCTCTGTGAACGTTCTGAACATAAATTAGTCCATCTAGAAAATCAACAATAGAACTACCGACAAACTGTACATTTTCATTTGAAAATTATTGTAATATATGAGACGCGTATGTCTTCATTTTTACCTCGAAATTTTTCGATAAAATGAAATATTCAGTGCTACGTTGAGACAGAAATATTTACATCGAGTATTGACTGACAGGGAATAGATAAATTTTAGAAAAATATAACACGGACTAATTTCTTCATATATGGAATATACAAATTTATTCTTCATTTTGTATAATTTATTACGTATGTCATAAAAGCTGTACATGTCGCTATACATATGTATACATATATTGCTTATAAGGCTGGGTCAGAAAGACCCTAATTTAAGTCATAGTCCGACACTGCATTGTTTCAAATTCTAATTGTTTAAATTTCGGTCTGATCTAAAATTGAATTTAACTCCGTGCAATATTTTTTCACACGCGTGACACACACTAGTGCTCGTATGTGATAAAAATTCGTATCTCCTATGCAATTTTAACCAGTTAAGTGCGTTCGACGTGTATACACGTCGTTGCTTGTTTTTAATTCCGCCCCCTGTGGTGATCTCATGAAACTAAATTCCACAGTTAACTGGTTAATTCTAACTATAATATGCATTATCAAGTATTGTTGAAAAGCAAAGTGTTCCTCAACACCTTCCTCCAGCCTTGACGTAGCAACTATGAATGATGCTTAGAAATTTCGACGCGTGGAAATACGGTGCGTAGAATTATGGCGCGTGGGAATTACGGCGCGTGGAAATTACGGAGCATGGAATTATGGCGCGTAAAAATTACGGTGTGTGGTATTATGGCGCGTGGAATTATAGCGCGTAGAAATACAACGAGTGAAAATTACGCAGCGTGGAATTATGGAGCGTGGAAATTATACCGCGTAGAAATTTCGGCGCGTGGAATCACGGTGCGTAGAAATTTCGACGCGTCGAAATACAACGTGTGGAAGTACAGCGTCTGGAAATTACGCAGCGTGGAATTATGGTGCGTGGAATTTACGGCGCGTAGAAATTTCGGCGCGTGGAATTTACGGTGCGTAGAAATTTCGACGCATGGAATTTACGGTGCGTAGAAATTTCGACACGTGGAATTATGGCGCGTAGAAATTTCGACGTGTGGAAATTACGCAGCGTGGAATTATGGAGCGTGGAAATTATGCTGCGTAGAAATTTCGGCGCGTGGAATTATGGCGCGT